AATAGAAATAAATGGAAGATAATGACACATGGCAGCGACTGATGGGTGCGTCGTCAGCTTTTCCAGCGGGTGTCAGTATCTCATAGCTCCATGTGTCATCCATGTTTCATTTTTGTGAGTTTATCTTAACAAATTCAAGAAAAATCATTAAAAAATCAGAAAAATACACCAAAAATTTCTATGAATTCCTTGCAACATTATCTTCGACTCTAATGTGTGAAAATCAAAATTTGACTTTGGGAAATTTGAAGTAATAATTGGAAGAAGTGTTATAGTGAGGAAGAGTAATGATCTTCAACTTAGTGTTATAGGTAGTATATGAAAAAACTTATGTTCGAAAAATTATTTAAATTATTTATGTTTCAAATTTATATTTTACAACTGAAAAGATGAAGAAAATGTCGCAAGGAGTTTGTGGCATTTTTCGGTGAATTTTTCAAATTTTTTACGAATTAATTATGATTTTTGAAAGTCAAAACATTGTAAAATAGTAATAAATGGAAGAGAATGACACATGGCAGTGTTTGATGGCTGGGTCCTCAGCTTTTCCAACGGGTGTCAATATCTCGTAGCGCCACGTGTCATTAATGTTTCATTTTTGTGAGTTTATCTTAAAAAATTCACAAAAAATCATCAAAAAATCAGAAAAATACACCCAAAAAATCTACGAATTCCTTGCGACATGATCTTCAACTCTAATGCGTGAAAATTAGAACTTGAATTTGTTAAATTCGAAGTAATAGTTGGAGGAAGAGTTACAGTTATAACGACTAGTGATCTTTAACTTAGTGTCATTGTTAGTATGGAAGCAAACTTGACTTTGTGAAATTATTTGAATTTTTCCCTTAATCAAAATTATATTTTAAGTCTCAAAAAATGTTGGAAATATCACAAGAAGTCTGGAGTCTTTTTTAGTGAATTTTTCAAATTTATTATGATTTTTGGAATTCAAAATATTGAAAAATAGTAATAAATAATAGAGAATGACACATGGCAGTGCCCGATGTGTGCATTGTCAGCTTTTTCAATGGGTGTCAGTATCTCGTAGCGCCATGTATTATTATGTTTTCATTTTTTTGAGTTTATCTGAAAAAATTGAAGAAAATTCATTACAAAAATCAAAAAAATACACCGAAAGTTTCTAAAAATTCCTTGTAACATTATCTTTGACTCTGCTGCAAGAAAATCAAAATTTAACATTGGGAAATTTGAAGTAATAATTGGGGGAAGAGTTATAGTGATGAAGAGTGATCTTAACTTAATGTTATTGTTAGTAATGAAGCAAACTTGAATTAATTATTTGGAATTTGTTTAAAATCAAACATGTAGCGCATCATAATCGAAGATAATGTCGCATGGAATTTGTAGAAATTAAGGATGGATTTTTTCGATTTTTTAATTAATTGTTTGTGAATTTTTAAAGATAAACATACATAAATTGAAACTCTGATGACATGTGGCGCTACGCAAAATGATGCTCGTTAGAAGCACTGATGACACACCAAAAACCATAGTATTTCATTAAATAGCAGAAAAATACACACCAAAAAATTCTACAAACTCAATGTGAAACTTTCTACACCTTTTGAGTTCATCTTAAAGCATTCATAAAAGTGCTAATGAAGACTTCTTAGTCAAAAAATAAAAATAATATTATGAAGCTTTAGTGAACAATAAATGAAGTGATGTTGAAGCTCTGGTGAATCCTTTTGAAGTGTTTACGAAAAATATTTTGATGGCAAACAAGTAATGATGCTGCATTGCAATTCTGACTTGTGTCATTTCTCTATTATTTGTAAAATTTATAATTTTTAAAAATTATAAAAATATGATGTTGAAGCTCTAGTGAATCCTTTGAATCGTTTATGACCCATATTTTATTATGAATTTTAATACTGACATTTATACATAGAAATTGCTTGGTTACATGACTGTACTCGCCTTTGTGAAACATAGTTCAAACCCAGATTCCATTTTATACCTGCAACATACACCGTTTACATAAGATATACTGAAACTATTACGAAAACATGAAGATACAGACCTAATACCCATATCCATACTACTGATACTATCATTAACACATTAAGATATATAAATGATATCTACTAACACTATTGTCAATACATTAATATACATAAATGATATCTACTAACATTATTGTCAACACATTAAGATACAGAAATGATACCTACTAACACTATTGTCAATACATTATGATACAGAAATGATACCTACTTACATTATTATCAACACATTAAGGTACAAAAATGATACCAACTTACACTATTATCACCACATTAAGGTACACAAATGATACCTACTCAAACTATTAATAACACATTAAGATACATAAGTGATACCTACTCACACTATTATCAACACATTAAAGTACATAAATGATACATACTAACACTATTGTGAACACATTAAGATACAGAAATGATACACACTCACACTATTATCAACACATTAAGGTACACAAATGGTACCAACTCACATTATTATCAACACATTAAGATACAGAAATGATACCCATATCATACTACTCACACTATTATCAAAAGTAAGAAAGAAAAAAGAAATACATACAAAGAACCAAATACAAAAGAAAAAAGTGGCATTAAAAAATATAGACAAAGACCATGCCTAAATTTTGTTTTGTACATATACAGATAAAGAACAAAGTTGGCTACTTTAATGAGGAAGAAATTCCTTCTGCTCCATCATTATAATACAGATTTTACACTCATTTATAGGCACTCTAAAAGATCCAGGAACAAAAAACGATCCAAAAAATTGCCCCATGTAATTTACACACACATCCTATAACATTTCATATTCCATAGCCACTCATTGCAAAAGCATATCCCTAAAGATCCAAACTTGTGGCAGAAAATACTAAGATCTATCAACTTTAGTTCTAGTTTCTAAGCAAGATACTAATTATTACCAACTATAAACCTCAGTTCACAAGCTATATGCAATGATCAAAACTTTTCGTTTCTTCTAGCATGGTAAATTTTCAACAGCATAGCACCATAGAAAAAGGATATACCAAATAAAAGCCAAGAGCAAATGCTCCCACCAACACATAAGTAAACAAACGGTAACCATACAACTGAGTTCTTACCCAGCGAGAGTCGACCTGCAAAATCAAATATCCACAGACAAAATTGTTGAAGGGGCACAAGACCCAGATGGGAAATATCGATAAAATCAATTAAGTGAAAAAAAAAAAAAAAGTTGAGAAAATTGCAAAACTTACTGCGCGGAAGAACATAGGCATATATAGGAGCAACCAAGAACTTAAATTGGGAGCCCGTGCTTCTCTTTCTAATAGCAGCTTCTCTTCCAACATATTCATGTACACAATTTGATATCAATTACTAATAAAGAGAATAAATTTCTATGAATTGAAAGGCAAAATCTATGTTATGGGTTTCGCGGAACTTACTGATTAGAGGGATTGGACAATGAGGGCCAGGAGGCCATGGCGGAAAAATTTCTGAAGATGAGAGGAGTGATGCTTTGTATAGAAATGGAAGCAAGGAAATGGGGTGTAGATGGAAAGATAGATGAGAAAAGAGGGATGTACTTCATGGAGATCGAAAAGTCCACTGGAAGGGTAACTGGGATGGGTAAAGCTGATTGCTTTCAGTATTTTAATATAATTTTGGGGCAAAAATATCTACATTTAATTCAAGGGCAGGACAAGAGACAATGAGGGAAAAATTGGCCCCCGGGAAAGAAAAATTTCGCGAAATTTTTTTGGAGGTAAGAGAGAGAACAAGTTGAGGTGAGGGCCTCATTCTAGTACAATTGTTTTTCGCGGAGCAGTTAGATTAGATCCAATGGTGTTCTCATATAATGTTCTTATATAGCTGTTCTCACTAGATCCTGACCCGGGAAAATGAAGGTCTACAAAGCCAACAGGTTAGCGCATATGCACATCTTCATCAATATACCCATGAAGATGCTTTTGAACATCCAATTGACTAATGGGCCAGTGGCATTGCATATGTAAGGTCGAAGTGAGTCTGATCATAAAGTGACACCGGTACCATAATCAAGGCTTGCATGCTTATGAAAGCCAATAGCATTTAAATGGGCTTTATATCGTTGGATTGACACATTATAATTTCGTTTAATGCTAAAAACTCATTTATTTATTTTTAATTAAAGGAATGAACATGTTACTAAACAAAGTTACATAAAAGTCCAATATGAAGTCGAAAAAATAGAAGCAAGGGCTCCATCAAACAAAATAAAGGCCCAGTCCAAAACACAAATAATTTATGCTCAAAATAACAACAAAAAACCCCTCAAAAATACAAAAACCCTATAAACAACAAGCAACCACCAGAAGAAGAAGGTCCAAGGAATCCAACGAAGGGATTTGTAGAGCATGGGTTTTGGGAGCAAGCCACAACATACATACTCAAGTGATTGAAGTATTGGTCAAAATTGACAAGAGCCCACATCTTCATATCAAAAGTTCATACATGAGGATGAGTTGCAGGGGTGGAACATCATTCAGGGACTCTTTCGTGTTAAAAATCCTTGTTAAAATTGTGCATCTATCAAGGTGTTCAAAGTAAAACAAATATATTTACATGCCATTATTAATCCTTCATTTATCTTATTTTTAGAGTTGAGATGTTCTAATTAAAGACGCGTAGAAAATGATACGGACGCGTAGAAAATGATACGGACAATTCGAGGTTCCAAATAGAAAAGGAAGGAAAAATGGGCTGACTTTTGGAAGAAACGGTCCCCACATAACACAGGGAGATGACGACCGAACCAATACCCCTCTTGGCAATAATAAGAAGAAAGATAGAACAACAAATCCATGAAACCTCAAAAAAACAGTTGTAAATTGTTGTAATAATCAAACAAACAGTCACAGTAACCCAACCAAACCAAACCAAACCAAAACAAAACAAAACAAAACCAAGTAAACAAAGCAAACCAAAAAATTAAAACAATAAATAAATAAATAATAAAACCCTGCAAAGTCAATAAGGGCAAGCTCTGCCTTTTGGGTTTTGGCAGCCATCATTTGCCCTTCAAAGACTCCTCATGAAGACTACAACAACGGTTACACACCTTCAACCAGTGCTTCCTATTTATACTTAATTATATATAATATATATTTTTTTCAATAGTAGATTGATTTTTTTTTTCTTGTGTTGAAGTGGTGGCTTCATAGAGTTTTCTTTCTTTCTCTCTCTCTCTAAGAGAGGGTCAAGCATCCAAATTTCAAGTCTTGTGCAGCTTTTTCTCTTTCATTTTCTGGGAAAGCTAGAAGATTGGTGGATCGGTAAGGAGAATTTTGAGTTTACCAATTTCATAATTCTGTATAACTTATGGGGTTTTTGGATTGTCATGGGGTCCTATGGTTGTTTTGGATGATGGGTCTGTTTTAAATTGATCAGTAATTATGGTTTTCATCTTGTATTTTGTGGAATTTCCAGAAAAGTTGAAATTTTTATCAGCTGAGATTTCTCTTTGAAGGATTAAGTTTCTTTTCCTTTTTGTGTTTTCTGTTTTGGCTTGCAGAAGAGGTAGATGTTGAGTGATAGAGGAAGAAGTTGAGGTGGGATTGAATTATATGGATAACTTGTGTTGCTTCAGGTCTGTCTATTCTCAGGTGAGGATATCTTAGCTTTTTCTCCATTATGTTTTTTTCTATCTCTAGTAATTGCACACATATTTACTTTCTGTAAGGGGTGCTTAGTTTTGTATATATTGTAAGATACTTTGGGGATTTGTTATTTGGTATATTGTTTAACTTCCAGTGGTCTTTTGTTTTTTTGGTCAAAATTCCAGTGGTCTTTTGATCTACCGTTATATGGCAATTCTATGATGAACTTGAGGGACTTAATATTTTGATATTGTATATAAATCACGGCTTTAGTTCAGGCCATATCGATGTCTGTTTCAAAATGGTGCAGATTTTCAAAAATTTCGAGAATGAGTATGCGTTACCTTTACTGAATTATTTTGGTAAAATTCATTTATTATTTGCTTTTCTCAAATGGGGTGAAAGGAAAGGATAAAAGTTTAATGTTTCACAAAAATACTTCTTTGATCCATTTTAAGCAGTTCTTTCCCTTAGTTTTTCCTTTTTAGAAATCAAAATAAAGAGATTTGAAATTAATTATAAATAACTTTTGGTCCATTGCTGGTGAAGACGCCATATTTTGGGGGAAAAGAAAGAATATGGTTTGGGAACAGACTTCAAAAACACAATGAAGAAATTACTTTTACATTATTCTATCCATATTTGTGAAGATTCATATATACAAGCTAGTTTGCAAAAAGTGAAACTAGACGGCACTTTATTTGAAAAAAATTATTGATGGTTGGTACTGGTGGTAGACCATAGCAGATTTATTACTTATCTCAGTAGAAATTTCTCATGAATGTAAAAACCAAATCTACCTTTAAATTTACCACTTAAGTTGAACTGCAGAAGCAATATTGCGATATTTAGCTTAGTTTGTTGGTTTAAATTGCAAGTCTTTGCCATAATGTAACTTCTAGCTGGATTATCTTGTGGATTGTCTCAAAGTCTGTTTCATCAAATAATATTGTTCAATCTGCTGCTCAGAGGTTACTATGATCTTGGCTTCTACAAGTTTTACCTTTTCTATTATTCCCATATGCATACTTTATTGGTTCTGCAGGATTTAGTTGGAAGTTAAAAGTTCTTCTGATTTTAGGTTGTAGGAGGGCGATCTTCATGTAGCTCCGGCAAGGGTAGGAGCCATCAGGGCCCTGTCAAGTATGGCTTTAGCCTAGTAAAAGGAAAAGCAAATCATCCAATGGAAGATTTTCATGTTGCAAAATTTGTGCACTCTCAGGGCCATGAACTTGGACTGTTTGCCATCTATGATGGGCACTTGGGAGACAGTGTGCCTGCCTATCTTCAGAAGCATTTGTTTCTGAATATCTTAAAGGATGTGAGTTGTTGATCCAAGATGAAGTATAATTGGTTTTATATTAAAATCATAACCTGAAAGTGGCATTTTGACACCACAAGGAAGATTTATCATTCTGTTTCACATGGCACTTGAAATGATTTCTTTCATTGGTCATAGAAATTTGCAATAAAATTAAATTATACCTTTAAGAAGTTCTATTTTAACTTGGTTTTGTTGAAGTTATAGGTAAAATAAATTTTTTCCCTAAGAAGGTATCTATGTAAAAAAAAAGGTGCAAACATGGGCATATGATATATATGGGTACAAAATAATTTGATTTTGCAGTAGGATTTCATAGCGGATTTACATACATTGATTTGGAAGTTTTATTACTTAATCATGCTATTTCAATTTTAGGAGGAGTTTTGGACTGATCCCAACAGGTCCATTTCGAAAGCCTATGAGAGAACAGACCAGGCAATTCTATCGCATAGTCCTGACTTGGGACGAGGTGGATCTACTGCAGTTACTGCAATTCTCATAGATGGCCACAAGTTATGGATTGCCAATGTTGGAGACTCACGAGCAGTTCTTTCAAGGAGAGGGCAGGCAGTACAGATGAGCATTGATCATGAACCCAATACCGAGCGTGGCAGCATTGAGGACAGAGGTGGCTTTGTCTCAAACATGCCAGGTTCTTTAACACCTCTTTTTTTTTTTTGGCCTACCAGGTTCTTTAACAACTCACAGATCCTGAATTCTGAAGCATATGTGTTTGCATGTGTGTTTGTGTGCATGTTAAAGAACTTATGGTCCCTACTGATTTTTCTAGCCTCTGTTTTTAGGTTTTAGATTGTGTACATCACTACATTTTTACATGAATAGTAATTAGGACACTTATGGGATAATGAAATTAACTCAAAGGTTCAAAGTAAAGCTCATTGCCTAACTATTGACACCCTCATGCTGTTTGAAAAATAAATAAATTAAGAGGGTATCTAGTTAGAACATTCAATTATGTGGATTTTGTGACAACATATCTATGTTATCAGGTACATTCAAATGTTTAATAGGTAGGACTTGGAAATTGCAAGATATTTCTCTAACAAAGAAAGTGCTTTCTACTTCAAAATACGGGCCGGTCCATTTTTTTGAATCCTAGAATCCTAGTACCTCGTATTTTTCCCTCTGCGTCTAGTTGGGCCCATATTGACTTTCATGAGGTCTTTTCTTGACAATCTAATGGCTAAGAAACCTGTTAACTCTTACTATGACTGGCTTATTAATTTATATTTAAAATTTAATTGAACTCCATTAAGGTTTTCCTCTTTGCATTTGTCCGTGTATCCCAAAGAGTTTTCTATGTGAAGTTCTTGCACGAACACAGCACACATACGATTTTGTTATGAACATCTGTAAGACATCAGCCTCATCCCGTGAAGAGTTTTGGAACTGAAGCATTTCACCCTTTGCTTCCTTCAAAAATGATAAAATTGGGCAATGGAACATGGGACTTTCTATTAAAGAAACGTAAAAACGGCTAGAGGGGGGTATGTAGTTTGGTTTTTTCATTTTTTTGTTGTGCCTCATTTCGACGAGAATTTTCTCTTTTAACCCCTAGGGTTAGTCCAGTGGTAGTTCAGGCCAAGATAAGCACCTCAGGAAGTGGTCTCATGCTTGATTCCCCTTGGATACATAGTCATATGCCTGTATACCCCGAGCCATACAAAACAAATAGAAAAATAAGAATTTTTCTTTTTTTTATGGCTGAATCTCTTGTAATTTTGTGTTCCAAAGGATGTTGGAATATACTTAAATTATCATTTTTCCTTTTTAGAAATATATGGTTGGAATTAGCCAAGTGCCTTTTCTTCAGTCTTGACACAAAGTTGTGCTTGTTATACTGATAAGATTGTCTGCAAATGAAATACTGGTGCTGCGTACATGAATTTTTTGGAGTTCTTTTTTCTGTCTAAAACAATGTTTCTGTAGATGGAATAACTGCATTATCTAGATATGTGTCATAGTTCTTGATGTTCATATTCTTAGATACATGAATTTTTAGATACTCAGCTGATTTACTTGAGGTTAGTCAATGATAGGCTTTTAGCAGAAAGAAATTTCTGATTCTATTTTCTTGAAATTATTGTATCTGGTAATTCGAACTGGGGGAGGTTATGTCATATTTATAAACGTGGGTATATATCACTTGAATCTGGTGAGTGTTCTTATATGGGGATTTTTCTTTTGTTTGTAATTATTTTATTATATTCACTAGCAATTGAATATAGTGAAAGTATAGAGTTTATCTCCACTACGCACAAATAATTGCCCAATGTGTGCGCTGCTATATACTGCCCTTTTGAATTTGTACAGAATCTCAAAACCTGTGTGCTGGATCTTTTATCATTGACCGCTGTTTGATTTGCATTTCCTTTACTCAATGTAAATGATGTTTGTTGGATATTATATTAGGAGATGTTGCAAGGGTGAATGGTCAGCTGGCTGTATCGCGAGCTTTCGGAGACAAGAATCTCAAGACTCACTTGAGGTCCGATCCAGATGTCCAAAGTTCTGATGTTGGATCAGAAACTGATGTTCTCATCCTTGCAAGTGACGGTCTATGGAAGGTAATCCCTCTCTGCCCTACTCCTTCCCAACTGTTATTCATCCATGCTATATGTCTCTCTCTTTGCTGTCAATTCCATTAGTTTCTAATCAAATGACATGCTCGCAGCAATTTTCTTTTAAACATGTTTGTCTATTTCCCATTTTTTCCGGCTTATTCAGGTCATGTCTAATCAAGAGGCAGTTGATATTGCCAGAAAGACAAAAGACCCGCATAAGGCAGCCAAACAATTAGTAGCTGAGGCATTAAACAGAGACAGCAAGGATGACATATCCTGCATCGTGGTTCGTCTCAAGGGGTGAAATAGAAACGAAATGACTCACTTGGATTCTGGGATTTGTATATCAGGGTTTCTTTTGGCTCAGGATGCAAGGACATATGTTATGATCCAACTCCAGCGTCGAAATCTCATGAAACGAGCGCAAGTGTGGAATCCTTGTCAATATATAGTCTATGTATTTCTCCCTTGGCTTCCTCTGTAAAATTTTACTTTCTTGCAATCAGGTTGTGTGATTAATATCTCTTCATCTCTTGGACTTGTAGATACATACATCACTGTAATACTGTATTTTGCATTGTGGCTTTGGATTAATGTTGAATCATCGGTTGATTTATATATGCATGTAATAGAGAAGCATCCTATTGAGAATAAATCCATTCTGTTATTTGATGTTATATTCTTGTTATCTTTATTTTTACTTGTACATTTTTGTCCCTTTATCTTGCTTTAAATTTAAAAACTGGCTCACTGTTCATTCTCTTGAGCTCTCTCTGTATTTTCTTATGTTGCCCACGTGATGCTGTTAATAACGTTATTTTCTCTTGAGCTCTTTCTATCAGATGCCATAACAAAATTGTTCTTACTCTTTTTCCCTCATTGATTGAATAAATTACATGATTCCACTGTTCCCACCCGTGATATATACTTGAAGGGATTTAATGTTTAAATGATCTTTTCAGCTACAAAACATGTGTAAATAAACATGGATTGTTAATTGAAAGCAAGCACAATTAATGTCAAAACAATCCAAAGTTGCTCATTGGAGAAATGAAAAGAAAGAGAGCCTTTAACCATCTATTAAAGGTATGGAGGTCAACAGTCTGTTTGTAGAGATTGTAAAGTCTAATTTTCCTCTTTTGCCTTTCTCATCATATATATATAACAATAAACCCTACTTTATGTTTTGTTTAAGATTTTAATAAATCAAACTATTTTGGCATCTATTGAATTCAACTGCAGTTTTACTTGCAATAGTGCAGTTCACTAGCTTCAGCTAAATAGTTATATCATTTTCCTTAAGTTAGGAATTTTAATTTAATTTGTTGAAAACCCTAAACACTCTTGGAGAAAACCCTCAAGGAAAAAAGTCTTAGATGCCGCCCTCTTTTGGGGTTGGCGGGCTCCTTCTCTACCTCCTCCCCTCTCCTTTCATCCATTCTTTTCTCCTTCCCTCCCTTTTACCCTTCCCTCCCTTTTACCTCAAGATTGTTAGTTTATTTTGTGATGTGGAAGCAGTCGCCGTGAAATGATGTCGTCACCATGATATAGTCACCGTATTTTGGCCCATGTATTGTTGTTGTCGATTCGGCTGCACCAAAATCGATTCAGCTGCATCCTCAACTTGTGATACTTGCAAGTGCACGAGTCGTTGGGTAGTATATCATGTGTAAGTGCGAGGTTGATCCCACGAGGATTGATGATAGATTGATTCAATTTGATTCCCTGTACAAAAAAGAAATTGGGTGTTTTGATTAGGTAAGGAACATAGAAACTAAACTTAAACGACGAAAGTAAACACGTAAATAAAAGACAAAAATAACTAACTCAAGAAAATCAGTTAACAAGTTCAATTCAGATTCACGGATTGATTCTAGCTAAAGTATGATTAAGCCATGGTGTTTGGTCATAACCTTGTATTCCTAATTCCCTAATTTGATCCTCTGTTGTTGAATCTAAATTAAGCATTAGAAATCCATTATGCAATGTTTTAAACAACCAAGCATGTATCTAATTCCTGTTATCGAATGTCCATACTGTTCAATTCGAATTAAAGCATATGGTGTCTACTCTTTATTCCAACGAAGATAGCTAACATACAAGTTTTAATGGTGATCAATCATTCAAACAAGCATATTAACTTATAAGCATAATGAATAAGAACAACAACCGTAATTGAAACTTGGAAATTAATCAAACTTGAAAACTTAAAATAAGAAATTACATTAAAATAAAAAATAAACTACAATTGAGAAAAACATAAAGGAAAATTTAGCAAAAGAGTTTTGTTACAACAATTGAGAACTAAAAAGGAAAACTAAGAGAATTTGAGGCAGAGAAGGGAGAGGAGCTCTAGAGAGATGTTTGAGAGCTCTCCACCTTAGGGTGTGTTTGTAAGCTTGGAGAACCTCACTATTTATAGGCCTAAGGAAAGTAAAAATATGAATTGAGTATTGCATCTACCTACAACACCCACTTCACCAACTTTACCTAACTTCCCCACCAAAAACAATTAGCTCATGCAACATTGCAGTCTTCTTGTGGGCTCGTTTTGGGTTTGTTCCTCCATTCATAAAATTCTGGAAAAATATGTGTCCTGAAGATCTTTGTCTAATATTTTCAACCATATGTAGCCCAGCTCAAGGAAAAATCGGAAAGACCTACAAATGTCATTTTTGGCATAGTATCGCAGATGCTGCCGAATTTCACCTTAAACTACCAAAACTTGCATAACTTTCTCTAGAAGACTCGGAATCATGAACCGTAAAATGATCTAGAAACTAGACTTCCATATCTTTCGAATAATGTATGGCTCATTATCTAGTTCTTCTTGAGCAAGTACAGTCCAATCCGTGAAGTTGACTGATCTGCAGACATAGTTTTGAGCTAACTTGACTCCAAAATGCATTAAATTAGTCCCAAAGCGTAATACACTAAAACAAACACAAAAGAGATTAAAAGTATAAGTTTAACTTAAAAACATAACAAAATCAAAATCTAGAAGGATACAAAATGATATGTAATTATGCACTGATCACGTATACAAGGAGTTGGCTCCCTTCGACATAGTTTGGAGCTCTAAAGAGGGGAAGATGTCTGGTTGCGTTTAGTTCCGGTTTGGCCAGTGCAGGACTATGAATTTAGTGGGTATGATGCTATGATTTTCTTCGGGTTGCCCCGAAGATGTGGAGAAGTGGTCATGTTTCTTAGTTTTGTTTTAGACTAATAATTTTCAAAAACTCTTTAGGAGTTTGCTGTGATTTGTTTTATTTATAATTTTTATTTCTTTTTAGCTTTTGGCTTTCGATATGGATTTGCCGTTTATGCCGTTGCACGATGGATTTGTATTGTAGGTTTGAGCACATGTGCTTCTGGTTTCTGGATTTGGGATTTAAGCATTGTTTGGGTTGTGCGTGATTCTCTCCATATCAATTCAACACGTTATTGTGTTTGGTCACTGGAGAAGATTTACGCATATTTGGCACATAATTGCTTTGTACTTTTTTTATTCATCAATAATATACTATCGCTTATTTTCAAAAAAGATAAATAGTTATATCTTCTTACATGTCTTTTTATTTTCTCAAATAAAATCAAATGGATAAATTTAATAACACAAAATATTATACAATTGAAATATTCTTAAAAAGATCTTTAAAAAGAGACTAATTTTGAACATATTTGAACAAAAAATTTAATTTCATGCCAAACTTGTATATTTAGATTTGTTTTTTCAAAAGTACAAGTTAAAAAGTTTAGTATGCACTCTTCACATGCATTAATAGTTGTATTAACGGTATAATGCATTAATTGTTGTATTTTTTTTTCTATTTTTTATTGGCATATGGGTCCCATAGTTAGCCTATTGCAATTCAATAGAGGGTTCATCACCACATAGCACCCTTTATTGCAATTGCATTTATTGCAATGAACTAAAATTGCATTGATCTTAACTATTACAAATGCTTTGAGAGTTGTGTGTGAAGGCTATGGAAAACCAAGAAAAGTTCCTCATGCCTACTCACTTTTCTTCTTTCTTTCCTAATAAGCCCTTTAAAAAATAAAAATAAATAAACGTAGTCACTTTTCTTACAATAATGCTAGGGACATTAAATTTGTACACTAAATTTGAGTCCCAAATGATGTGTCACTCGCCATATCATCACTTTAACTTAATAAAATTGCCAACATATATTATTCTAAAAAGAAAATTTTAAAAACCATGTAAGTTGATTAATCCAAAGTCTCAAACCTAATCACCACCATGTTCCACCACAACCAGTCCTACATCCACTGCACCTTTACCAGCAACTCAGCCTACCCCAAGTCAACCTTCATAGATTCGTTCAAGCAACAAAAGTGTTGTAAACAAAAATTTTGCCCAGCCATTCGCTTCCCATTTGATTTTGGTAAATGATAAAATCTTCTAAATCTTCTCTTTATATGTCGTTGTCGCTGTGGACTATTTTACCAAGTGGGCCGAAGTTTAAGCCCTAGCTACCATCACAACAGCTCGCGTTGAAAATTTCTTTTGGCAAAGTATTGTATTGTCACAGACAACAATAACCAATTTGATAATGCCAAGTTCAAGTAATTTTGCTCCAACCTCAAGATTAGATTTTGCTTCGCTTCTCTTGCCCATCCCCAATCTAACAGCCAGGTAGAAGCTGTTAACAAGATTATCAAGAAGACACTAAAGAAGAAGCTTGACAAAGCCAAAGGTTGTTGGCCTGAACTACTCTCATAAGTTTTATGGTCCTGCCAAACCACCTTTCGCACTTCCACTGGAGAAACACATTTCTCCCTTTCCTTCGGTACCAAAGCTACTGTACCAGTGGAGATTGGCCAGCCTTCATATCGAATGGCAACACATGACGCTGAAGTAAGTGATGAACAGTTGGCTCTCAACCTAGACCTCATTGACAAACTACTTCAACATGCCCACATGCATAACTTTGCTTACAAGCAACGCATTGCGAAATACTATGATTCTCATGGAAAGCCTTGTGCCTTCAAGATGGGTGATTGGGTCATGCGCAAGGTCTCCCTGGCATCTAAAAACATTGCCGAAGGTACCCTTGGCCCAACTTGGTTAGGACCCTATGAAATCATCAAGGTCTACCAACCTAGCACTTACCAGCTTCTTGATTCAAACTGCAAGCATTTGCCTCATCCATGGAATACTGACCACCTTAAATACTACTACAAATAATTATGCCTCACCTTTAGCACCTGTGTCTTCGTTTAATTATGCCTTCGGCAATTATATTTAGTATCACATGTACTTATGCCTTTTGACACCCACTTAATGAAAAGCCTAACCTTAGCTCATTTCTACTCTTTACTTGCCTTCGGCACTTACTTACGATTGTCAATTAATAAGACACTTGTTGAACTATGACAAAATATACATTCAAGTTAACCGTACTAACCTTGCCTTATGGCAAGGCAAAATATCCATACAAACCATGAGTACCATCGACACTCTCAAATTGTTCTGAATAAACATACATATTAACAAAAATAATATCAAGCCTTCAAGCTTCGATATTCCCCTCCTGGGTCCCTTCAGTAGTCTGCTCCACATCCACGGCCTGAGCATCCCCTCCAGTTTCATCCTTAGCATGGCCCTATTGGCAGGATTGTCGTCAGGAA